GCGCGCGTATATATAGTGAAGATTTTCCTCTCATTTGTATTCGTGGCGTTTAGTGTATTGTACTTTATTGTATTGTTCTATCTTTGGTGCGAATAAATATTTGGAGTAAGAAATAGACTCATCACACCGAAGTAACTTAATTAAACAAACAAACCCACCGATAGATCAAAAAATAAAAACTAACTGTCAGATTCCTTGACCGCTTCGACCAGCGTTAGCGACGCTACTTAGGATCGATTTGCTAATCTTATATCCTCTGCATGGGTCAAGTACAAAATGTGATTAAAGTGAATACTTTAATATAAATATGTAGAAAGGAAAAAAAATATATTATGCAAAAAGATGACGTAATAATGATATCTGCAAACTGTGATATAAAATGTTCCCAATGGTGTTGCTACAACTTCAAGTTAAAAGCAAACTTGACTGGAAATATTTATCCTTTATGCGCAAAAATAAGAAAAGAAAAAATACATACCTAAATGAAAAACAAAGAACTTCCACATATACATACTAGGGATGATGAAAATACGAATATGGGAGATAGTATCGAGTAGCGCAGATTAAATCAAACAGTTTTGTTCGTTGTTTTTGATGCACTGTTCAGTGGTTTAAAGGGTTTCTTCTAAGATTAATCGCTAGAGAATTGAATTCTCTACAAAACCTGCTAGTTGAATCTGTGATAGCAATTTTCTCGTTTGAGCACCATTCAAAATATTGAAGGATGCTGAGTTGTCGAACTGCGACACACTGAAAATAGAAAAATATTTGCCTTGTTCTAAAAACAAATTCTATAAGAACTTTGAAAAGATCAAAACATTCACCGGAAAATTCTGCATCTTCTCACATATTTTTTGCAAACTTTGCAGGTAAGTCTTCTCCGAAAATTTCTCTGCGCAAAAACTGATAAATCTAAAAAACCTAATTTTTCACAGACTTTAGTTTTTTCGCTAGAAAAGCAGTAGAACGTTCGGAATTCAGGCTTTTAGTAGTATTACCTTACGCAAAACTGAATTCTGCATCTTTTGATATATAAACAAAGTTTCTCAATTGAAATGGTTAATTAAAAAGATTGCTTTAATTTGAAAACGTTGAAAAGCTGGTTCAGAACTAATTATAAGTCCAACAGACATGCCGGAAACATAGTATGTAGCTGTAATTCTCTATCTTTCTGCTTAGAAAAATAAGCTATTAAATACCAGACAATGAGCTGAAAATCTCGAAAAAGGAAACGACAAAAGCACGTGGCAGTTTGACAACTCAGCACTCTTTAATATTTTGAATGGTATTAAAAAAAAAATGCTATCAGAGATTCAAATAGCGGCTTTTGTAGAGAAGTCAATTCTCTACCGATTAAGCTTAGAACGAACGCTTTGGACCGCTGGACAGTGCCTCAAAAACAATGACCAAAACTGCCTGACGTAAAATAGATTTCCGCCCTCGGCGACGACAAAAGTTTAACCGCATGGCGGCGGCGACGGAAGTCACAATAATTTTTCTCCGCCTTCGGCACACATCCCTGCACACAAGATAATAATTTATTCTCAAATTAGGGAACAAACAGAAAGACTAATGATCTTTTAGATAAATGGACGAAAGAAACTGTCGATATTTGCTCTGGTGATGCATGCATTTATCGAACTGGATGATGTAGAAGCCCAAGAAAGGACGTGCTTCGTGTTAATGAAAGGATAATAGTAAGTTTTCCATAAAATCTATTGCATGATAAGAAATGGATTTAGTGGTTAAAATAAGAGAAAATAGTATTCGAACTTCTACGACTGTAAAGAAATTCTTTCCGTTTTGATAACGACTACAGCTGTGAATTAACTCATTTTGTCTAATTTAGCACGTGCTAGCGATTATCTTGGTATTTGTTATGTTAGCAGTAATGTTGATTAAGATTTGCGGTAAAGCAGCGCATTTATTTGGTGTTCATGGTGTTTTCAATAGTCCATCTCCACGAACAGAACCACCTGTAAGGCCACCTCCGCCACCAGTAGCACCTATTAATCCTGAGGTTATTGCCGGTTGAACAGATAAAGAATATACCAGTCGATGCAAAAACAAACTGTTTCATAACATTTCTTTCCTTTTTACCATGTGCATGCGTTTAATTTAATAATATACCTCTGTCGGTAATCGGTATCATCGGAGGAAACACATTCGAACGATATCTAATTCTTTTCATTATCATCTGATCAGCAAGGCTCCTCTTTCGATATCTAATGCCGATGATAACCTTCCACAGTAGTTTTACATAGTATCAGAAAGACGAACTATTATCACTCCCGTATCGTGATATATCTCGTCACGAAATACCCTAATGATGCAACTGATATAGGAACCGGCAATTCAGTAATCTCTACTGGTTCCAATATGAAAAGATGATGGAGTGAATCCCACACGCTAATAATGATGCTGAGATATCAGCCGATTACTATTGTCAAGTTTCCACTGCCAGTTGCTTTGAGTGTTAAATAACTATAACAGACAAAATCAGGGAAGCCGAGCCAACTCAAATTGTGAGTACAAAGGAAAAACGATCGCCGATGTGTTTCGTAACTGCTATGTAATGTTGCATAAGGACAGAGAACATCGTAAATATCAGAGAGGGATTGACATGTTCGTTTAAAAACTCATCATTCAGAACTCTTGGGAGGACTTTCAAGAGAAGAATCTTTAGCTCGCTCAAATTGTTTCGGCGCTTCTGGCGAACACTGGAAGCCTACAACCAAGGCCAATCGTACAGCGATGTTCTGAAGCTGTTCAATAATCTCTGCGTGGGTTATGTGGGATCACATCGAAAAGTCACGAAGGCTAGTTTGGATTCGTTCGTTTTATTCATGTTTATTCTCTGCTGTGAAACACTTCTGACTTGTGCCAGTAGAGAGCTGATGCTTTCTTCAATAAACTAAAATTCTTCTTCACATTAACCTATATTCACGTGTTAAAAAAAAACGTCCTCTCTCGTTCAGAAACAGAAGAAGAAACTTTTTGAAAAAAGCGATACGTACTTTTGTTCGCCTTCAAATGGTGAACTAATGTACCATTTTTTTAAAAATTTCTTTTCCATGCTGAGAAAAGTCGACTTTTACAGGGGAAAATCGAAATTATGACACTAATTCGCAATTTTCTTCGTCAGAAATCAACTTTCACGCAGTGAAAATATCATATACCGTACTCCGTACTCCGTCACTCCGCGGAGTGAACTTTCACTCCGATTCATTCCGGAGTGGACGGAGTGACAAGTGGTATACTCTTTTCTCTCACATTTGATATAAGCTATTTATTTGAAAAAAAAGAAAGAAATCAGCAATATATACTATCTCTACCCACCGAAATAGAGACATGCCCCATTATTATCGGCGATAGAGAAAACTACTAGCCAGAGTTCACTTGTGGGTCTCTTGACTAGACGAATTTGTAAAATATCGTTTTAGAAAATCGAATATTCATCCAATTTATCATTTCTAGAGTTAAACTGACGGTGAGATAGAACTCAATGAACTTTGCAGCTATTCTTGACTTCATCTTGCATTCTCTGCTACTAATTTGTATTCCCAGACAAACACTAATTTATTTCCCAGACAATTTATTCAACACAAAAAAAAAGTAACGGCTATCCAAAGTAACAGGGAGAGAAAAGTACAAAACAAAACAATAACAACTGTTTATTTCAGAACAATAATAAAAAATAACAACAGTCTTAAATAATCCACATTCCATCTAATCATTTTCGTCTTCTTTTGCCACTAACTTGATAATTTCGTGATAATGCATCATTGAATTCATTTTGTGTGCTGAAAAAGAAGACGGATGAAGTAGACGTTAGAAACCTACTTTATCAACTTACCGAACAGGCTTTATAACTTTTTTCTTTTCTAATGTTGGCAGATTTTCTTTCTCTTCATCCTCCTGCAAATAATTTCAGTTCAGTTAAGGCAACAGATAACGCCTTCTACTCACTGTTGGCTCATGAATATGTTTTCGTTTTTTCTTAGCTTTTTCTCCATCTGCATTTTCAATGTCTGAAAACACAGAAAAACGTGCATACCTATTAGTTCAATGAACCTCTAACCAACCTATTAATTCACTTGATCTTTCTTCCAGGTTTGAACGTGTGCTCTTCACTTTTGATTGTTCATCACTGCTTGCTTCCATACTTGTATGAACTTCCTAAAGATTCACTCAGTTAACCTAAAGTAGGGAAAAGACTTTCGCTTACTCTCTGCGTTGTTGTTGAATTTGTTTCAGCTTGATCCACTAAAAATTACAGTAAGACATAAGCATTCATTTTTCCTTAGTTTAGTCTTTTACCTTCTTCTGTTTCATTAGTTTGTTCGCTTGTTTCTAAAGTAGGGCTTTAGCTGAAGCATTTTTTCCATCATCATTTGACGTTAACTCTTGGGCTTCAAATAAACCGAGATTTCCACTAAAAATAGAACAGTACTTTTACTAAAAATCGGATAGTAGCTTGTGATAAAATTGAGAGGTTTCTTGCATTGCATTTAAGAGAAATGTGACTCGATCACGTCCAATGAAATATTTATTTTTCAAACTTTCATAGCATTGTTTGTTCGATTGTAAGCGACCGGATATTTTCATTTCTTCCAGTGCACTTTCTAAAATTTTTCTAATTTCGCCTTGTTTGTTTAATACAGTTAAATCTCCTGAAATAATGCAGGGTTAAAGTAATAATCTTAGATGGGCTGTCTCTTTCTCTGGTTCTGTCACTTGCTTGGTTCTTCTCCCTCTATTTTAGATGGAACAACAACCCTTAAAACAGTCATTCCAACTTCTAATTCGAGACGGTATTTATAGCCTTTTTTTTTTCATTGAGTAATATTTTGGTTTTGGTGATGATGACTCGGATGTTTGTATCCCTATAAATAGAAGATATAGAAAACCTCTTTTTCAGAAGAAAATGTCTACCTTTTTCAACAAAAGCTACCATTTTATCATGTAAAAGCCTTTGAACAGCAGGATATTCGAGCCAGTGATCTTTGACAACATTTTTTTCAGCATATTGTACTAAATCATCTGAAATTTCAAATGTAATGGAAGGTTTTTACTATAAAAGTAGGTACTACGCTTACCTTTTGATTTCAAACCTTTAAAATAAGCAATCCTAAACTTTTTCTTCAATTTACTCATCTAAACGTTATCTACAAAAAGAATCGAATGAAAGAGAAAAAATTGGTTTGTTCATCACAAAATCCTTCTGAGCAAATTCAGTAAATCGCTCAGATTTATCATCAGTAGCGAGACCCTAATTCAAACTTGAAATTTAGATACTGCACGTATCTAGCGTCCTCCTGGAAACCTAGAAGAACAAGCTGCGCTTTTCTCAAAATTTGATCTACAGCCTATGCTGAAGAAGCTAAAGAAACATGAGATCTTACGTAAACCCAGTAAACACTTAAAATGCCCCGCAGAAGTTGAAAAAAAGTGAAAAATTGAGCATTGTCGTCGTTTTTAAACAGTTCTCTAAACGCCCCAAAGTTTGTTGCTTAATCCTCAAAAGTCTAGAGTCAAACTCAGCTTCTTTCTACTTCTGTCTCACTTATAATTTCTGAAACTGCCGCGTAGAAACCGTTGAAGAGGAGACCATTATTTCATTCGTCCCATTATTCGATATTAGCTCTCGTATGTTAGCTGTCAAAAACACCGCTAAAAGCAACATTCTGTTAATTGGTCCCATCACTCGATTCTATTGTCCCCTATTATATCGCTTTTTGGATTTGTTTCTGATAAAACACGGATCGACTAATGAGCATCATTCTCTTCTGTTTTTTCTCATCATTTTACCCTCGGCCATTAAAATCAGCTTAAACTCAAACTTTCCAATTTTTTTAACTAAATCGATCACTGTTCAAAACCACTAATAGCTATATATCGGACTAATTCTTTCGCCTTTTAATCAGCTTTACCACCGCTTCATTTTTATCTATGGTAGTCAAAGATTTTATTTTGTTTCGAACGAAAAACCCTAACGACACCCATAGAACTTTCGTCCTATAGAAAACCATGTTCCACATGTTCTTTTTGGAAAACGAGCCTAATATTCTATGGCTAACTTTTTATGCTCTACACGATGCTCGTATTGAAATCTTCGCGGCTGTGAGGGCTATATAAAGTGGGCGGAACTGTGTGGAACCATCCGAAGAGAAAAACACAGTCACTGATGTTGATATTATTTTTCCTTTGTTTTATCTCTTTTACGGTCTAGTTTCCTCTGATCGGTCGAAAACAGACTCTAATGAAAAGGATTTTGTCTCAGTTTTTCAGACAGCATTTGGACAGCTGCTATTAAAAGTATGAATGCTCCTTCATAAAAGAAATTAATGCATGAAAGAAAAGACCGGACAAAAGAGAATAGCTGAGATCAACAAGGGAGGGGGTCCTTTGTCAATGTACATATAACGATGTACATATAACGATGTACATATAACGATGTACATATAACGATGTACATATAACGATGTACATATAACGATGTACATATAACGATGTACATATAACGATG